TTCCCAACGGCCACTTCCGCCACCAGGGTTTAGAGATGAAAGGACTTGGCCAGTGGGTAGGTTTCATGAACGATCACACAGACTCTCAGAAGGCGGCATGTATTCAACCCAGTCCCCTAGCCCTCTCAGGGATGACGGCTCCTGTGTAAGTGGTATCGTCTTGATGTCTCCAATGGCACTGGGATTTTCTCTCTTTTCTTAATGACGCTCTTTTGGAAAGGTCCAATGGGCTCTGCTCCACACAGTTGGAATAGCTCTGTGTCCTCTACTGCAGGGTCGGAACGCGGAAACTGGTTGTGTGGGATAAGTTATACTTTACATGTCTGCGTCTCCATCATAGGCTAAGGTTAAAGGTTTCAGTCGGTTGTTTTGCCTTCTTTGGGGTTTCTTTGGCTTTTTGCTGTTAAAAAAATCATTAAAATTGGGAGAAAAAAAATCAACCTTCTATGGTAAATGTTGCTGTTTTAAATGAAAAAAAAAGTTTGAAACTTACTGATAAACCTAAATTACTTAATTGCCTACATTGCCTAAATTCAAACTTAACATTTAATTTTTTGGTATCTTTCGAATAAACTCGAAACAGAACCCTTCAAATATGTTAGTATTCTGTAAAATATTAATTATCCAAATGGAATTCCTCTAGTACTAACAACAGACATCACAGTGCAATCATTTACATTTGGCCAGAAGCCTTTACAAATAATACAGAATTTATAAATAATGCAAGATAGTTAAATAAGTTCAGGTACTACCATAATGTCTTCCTCCAGTATTAATTCAATATAAACATCTACTGTTCACCATCAGCATATTCTCTTGCATAACCAAGAAGAATGTACTTGAGAAGATGGCCTGGAGCATTTTCAGAAACTAAATGACTCAGATTTAGTAGTTTTCAGACTATCTAAGACTAAAGTCATGTTTATGTAGAACTTCAAATGAATGCTAAGTAAATGTGGAATACTTATTTGAGACATTAGTTTGCCATTCCTCTGTTATGGCTAAGTGAACGTGTTTTCTCTAAAAGAGAAATATTATTTTTCCTCGTAGATGTTGAAATATTTAAACACTCACCAAGCTAGATAAATCATGGAGACAATAAAGATGAGCAACACAAATGCCCCAGCCGCTACACCGTAAACCCAGGTCTTTAGTCTCCCATCTAAGAAGAATGGATATTAATCATTAATTCATATTAGTCTGGCATGTAAATGACAGTCTTTAACTATGACCAATGGGCCAGTCATATATGACCAAGTCCTTTCAAAACGCAAAGTGAATTATTGCCTAGGCACAATTAATGATTAATGCAAAGCTGCTATTATGACTTAGATGTTCCTTCATTAAAGATAGAATATCAATGAAAATTGAATTAAAAGGCAATAAATAATATTTTCAATTTGAGTTCAGATTTCAAGTTACCATGTCTAAATTTCTGCTGCTTCTTATCTGAATTTTACTTCAAATACAATATGTGCATAATGCTGCATAAACATTTTCTTTTGATTTTCATTCTATTTTGAGATTGCGCTCATGAGGAAAGAAAAATAATGCAATTTCAAAGAAGTCCCACAAATTAGAGTTGATGCAGACAGGTATTTGTACATAAACTTTGTCATTTTTCCCAGATAAATTGAAAATGAATATATTTAACAATTTGGGGAAGTAATAATCTTTTATCTAGTTTACACTTACAGTCCTTCAGTGCTGATTTGACAATATCATTTGCAAAAATAACCAAGTTTTATTAACATATAAAATGATTTCTAAATAACTTCTACCTTTTCTATTATAGCCATTCCCTACTGTTTGAAAGTTCATGGTGCAGTTGCTTTTATAGAAAGATCTTTTATTATCACCTGCATTTGATAACTGAAGGAAATTCGAAGATGATTTCCTCTTTTATGAAAAAAGGCGAAAGGCAGCAGTAGGGTTCAGTTAGTTCTGCGGGGAGTGTTACAGAGGCAGCTTGCCCTCCAGGCAGCGGAAGGCCCGCCAAGCTCCCTCCCTGGGAGCCACACCCAGCATCTCAGCATCAAGCTGCCCGAGCTTTGAACTGTGTGAGCATCTGTGCTGTATCTTGATTACTTTGTGCATCTGTTAGCGAGATGTATCCTAAGGCTGAGAGAGCTCCTACGGCTGTTAGGCTTACCGTAAAACTGGACATAATTAAGCATATTTGGTATAAATTAGTGGGTGATTTTCTGGGTCTGAGGCAGCTCACTTATTCCATGTAACTTAGTGGTAATTGCCTCTATCTGCCACTTTGGCTTAAGAAAAGTTTCAAAGGAACTCTCTCCTTTTGGATAGCCGGGGAATCTGCATATAGAATCAGCCTCTTCTCGTTTGGTTTTCTGGTCTCATTCTGTGTGAACTTCTCAGTTTTATGTTCTGAACAAACTTCAAGCATAAGACACTTCATGACTTTGCCAACTTAATTTGGTCCTCACATCAGCATATATATTCTGTTGCATACATGCAATTAGACCTGTACTAGTGTTACATTATAGATTGGGCAAAGAAACTCTGGCTTAGTCCACATTTGAATGGCATTGAAAGCAAACCAATACTGTGAAATTTTTTAGAATTTCATTTCCTGGAAATAAGTTCATATTTTAAATATCCTTTCCTGTCAATTCTAAATATTTAAAAAAAATGTAAACCTGGGTGTGAAATACAAAGAGCTGTACCACTGCTGGGTTCATCTGCCCCAAGTGTTCTTCCATAAATATTATTTTGGTTTTTCAAAAACCAAGAACTGAGTCTAAATGTACATTTATAGAATATTAAAATGTTTACTTTAGGGAAACCCCATATTAAACTAAGTGTGACATTAATACTATTCTCTCTCTTTAAAAGTTTGGATGTGAGGAGATCTGCTTGGACTCTGAGTCAAGGTCAAGATGGCTAATGGCCACTTGCTGGTCCACCATCTTGAACACTGAGAATTTCCATGTTTACACAGACGAGTCAGGCTTGCAAAATGAAGTGTTTTTCCAACTAAAAACCTAATAAGGTCGGGAGACTGTGGTTAAATGTAAAATACTTCAAAAAAAAATCCCAATAGTGATTCTCCAGTAAGGGAAAGTGTTTTGACTTAATGCATTAAAAATAGAGATGTGTTGCCTTAACCAGTTTGGCTCAGTGGATAGAGTGTCGGCCTGTGGACTCAAGGGTCCCGGGTTTGATTCCGGTCAAGGGCATGTACCTTGGTTGCGGGCACATGCCCAATGGGGAGTGTGCAGGAGGCAGCTGATCGATGTTTCTCTCATCGATGTTTCTCTCTCATCGATGTTTCTAACTCTCTATCCCTCTCCCTTCCTCTCTGTAAAAAATCAATAAAATATATTTAAAAGAAAAAAGAGAGATGTGTTAGTCATGCAAATTTCTTTTTATTTTTTCATGTTTCTGAAGAGTTTAAAAGTAGTCTATGCCTGGCTTTCCCTGGAGATTTCCTTTGGTCATGAACTAGTGAGCCCTCCTGGTGTGAGAAAAAGTAGCATGATCTTAGCTACCACCCTCACCCTCAGCTTATTTCTAGGGATAAGCGTATGGCTGAACCCACTGGTGAGAGACAGTGTACAGAGTAGGAAGAGCATTTCATTGGGCCTTCAAGCCTTTGCCTGCATTAGCTTCAAGTCCATTACTAGACACATTAAGAGCTGTCTAATATGACAAGGGGTCTGGTCAGTCTCCAAGATGGTCCATCTAGACTGGAAGGCTCCATCCTTGCCCTCATATATTTGGTGCTAGTATAGACTCTGAGCTTTTGTGCCAACACTAAGGCCTCACAGAAATTAGTCTGGCTACCTTGTGTCTCCCCACCCCTTGGCATGGAACCATATTACTAATGTTCCTATTTTGAGTTCAAATTATTACTTCTCTGTGCTCAAATGAAAAGTTCTTGAATGTCTTTATGGTTTTATTTGTAGTGAATGATAACAGGCTTTTTTCCTCCTAATTAATATTTTCCTTGTTAGATTTCTTTGCTCAATCTGAAAATAATTATACTTGCAATTTTAGGGCCGAGATTGAATAACTAATCTCAATCCTAAATTTGTTTTTTTTTTTCTCCGAAAAAAGTGATTTCATTTCTCTGAACTTGGAGCATGAGTGCTTTTTTCATAATGATAGCAAAAATATCAAAGATTCTATGGCAGCATTAGAACACATGAGTTTCGGTGAGATAATAAAGAGCTCCAATGAAAACGCTAGCTGATTTTTCACTCATGTGGCATCGGTTAAATGTATAATTAAAGAATTCTACATCAAGGCCGTCTAGTCACTTCACCTGGCCCCAGTGGCTGTAGAAACCAGGTCCTGCCCCGTCCTTCCGGGTTCCTGGAGGGCTGGGTCGGGTGGATTGCCCGGCTGGTTTTCACGTCTCCTCTTTTGTCCTCCACGGTGGGAATCGCCACCACGGGGATGAGTGTGCACTGCTCCAGCGTCCCGTTAGAAGACAGGACTTCCGTGTACCCTTCTTCACAACTGCATGTCCTCGTCTGCGGGAGAGCAAGATTTCTACTGAGCATGCAGGCGAGTTTGGGAGCCTAACAGACCCGACTTGAAGAGAAGGCTTTAATGAAATACTGTTTTGGGAATTTGCTACATGCAATTTCTGTCTTCACTACATTAAAAAACAGAACACACTTTTTGTACTGCACACAAGCTTATCCTAACAGTAGAAGCAAGTGCCTCCAGAATTGTTTATGTTGATAAAAGAGGTTCCAAACTAGAATTTTTATGCCTCAAGACATGCCTTTTGTAAAGGGAAATGACTGCACAAGAGGCAGTGGGGTGACAAATGATGAGGCTGGCCTGTCTACCCTAATGAACTCACACATACCTCGCTACAGTACGAGTGGGGTTGACTACACGGTGGGTGACAAGACCTGTCAGCATCGGGCTGGCGAACCACCAAGCAGCCCCCTGCGGAACAGAAAACCACATTTTGACAAGGAGTAATTCCTGCGATAATTAGAGCACACTGTTGTTATAGGCTTGTCTTTGAACCCTAACCCACGCTGGGACTCCCACAGGTTTTCCTGAGAAATACTTGGTTAACCTTGACCACTGTATTTAGGAACTCGAGGTGCTCTTTACTCAGAGGAGACGGCCTTGTGCCGGGCGCAGAGCAGGTGTTCCACATGCGCTTGCAGAACAGACGATTTGATAGTTGCTGCCTTGAAAACCCTGACTGCACATGGGCTATTTCCGTCATTGTTCCCGAGGCCACGTCCAGCACTAAAGAGCAGATTTAATTTTCCCTTAAAGTTAAAATTCTTTCTTGGTTAATTCAAGGAAATAGTTTTCATATCTCTTTAATTTATGGTCTACCACATGAATGCATTTTTTATAACGTGTATTTCTTTTTCAGAAAAATCACATTCAGAATTTTGGGGGGACAGGAAAGAAAACAAATATAGCTACTAAGTATGTGCTTGCACTGCTATTTCAACTTGACACTGCAGGTCTCTATTGATTTCTCTTCCTTTTCTTCCTCTTCCAGCATAGTATCAAGTGTGCCTACGTTGTTATATCAAGATGGGGAGAGATGCCATAAAGTGACATGGAAGGAACTCACAGTTTCAAACCATTCTTGTTCAATGTAACAGAATTTTAGCAAAGCAAAGTTTTTTCTTTATTTACGGAATCAATGATCCTGTGGAATTTCTCAGAGTGACTATTGCTAATTCTCAATATTATAAATTAAATATTCCAATTTCTCAGAGTGTCTATTGCTAATTCTCAATATTATAAATTAAATATTCATAGAAACAATGTTATGAAAGCAGTTAGTCATTGCAAGGCAGTTGCAGTTAAATGGCCACATGGAAGTGACATCATTAAACACATACAGAAAAAGGAAAACAACAGCCTGCGTTTCTTATAAGGATGACTATTCTTAACATTAAAGCAATCCATGCAGGTGGGTAAAATACTTTACATGGTTATCTACCTCTCATAGAGACTCTCATCTCTCCTAAAAGATGGAAAAGGAATGCATATAAAGTTTATCACACATCACTTATACATTGGCTTTTTGGTATCAAACAGTAGTAAGAAATAAAAATAGTGTATACTATACTGCATTAAAAAGAAATGGAAAATATGATTTCTATAGGTATGTCTTTTAAAATTTGACTTACCTTGGCATTGGGGAATAGCCCCAATTTCAGGGGGACAAGAGATTTTAACATGGAGAAGAAAAGGCAGACAAGTATCATTTGCATCTTTATTTGGGAAGCAAAACACATTGAAAACTAATAGGACCCTCTGGGGAAGCTATAAAATTATTTTTGAAAAGTTTAAAGGAGAATGTAGATATTCATTTCCAACTGCTGAGCTGAGTGGACTGCCTACCATGCTTCCGGTTCAGAAAGGCCCCGCTTCCCTTTCTCTTAGATGTGAGGTTGGAACAGATATTTCTCCCAAAAACTAACACTCAGAGAGCAAAGGGTTTCCTGGAGGCCTCTTTTCTTGGTCACGCATGTGTCCACTGGGAGTTGCTATTATCAAGGGTTTCTTGACACAGATTTCTCATAAATAAAATCTTATCTTCACAAGAATACAATTTGACATCTTGCTCCCACTTTCATAGGGAGGAAATGAGTAATTAGGTTTCAATAAATCCAGGTAATTTAAAATTCAATATAAAAATTAATGCTTTCCAAAAAGCACATTGATCCCTGTGCCTGTTATCTTCCTGGATATATTACAGCTAAATTTATAAATGGATAGACTCAGAGGCACCCAAATGCACATTACTTTTCTCCCTGCCAGAGGGCCAAAACAATGGTGGTAAGTCAGCAGGTCACCCTGAACAGATAACTGTCAGTACTCATGCTACTGCTATGCTATGGAGAGTCCTGTAAATTAAATCCAGAAAAATAAATTAAGAAGAGACAATAGATCTTTGGGTTTATGTGCTTGAGGTTGAGGTTCTAGTTCCAACCTTGGTTTCTTTCTAGGAGATTTGCAGGGTGCCTCACCTCACTAAATATCAGGAGCCAAGTTTTTTTCCCCCTCTTCAAAGGAATCCTTGGGATCCCTTGTCTTTACTGGGCTCAGATAAAGAAACTTTTAAGCACTGCAGATTGGAGTAGTTCTTTGGGGTAAATTTGGGTATGAAGGACGCATAAAAGTTCTGCACTTGGATTTCTTCTTTGGATGTATAATTATTTTTGTGTGGGGACAGACTGGGTGAGTGTTCAGATACTCTGAGCTGGAGGTTTACCAATAGGTTTTCCCTATCTACACTAATAAAAGAGAAACATGCAAATTGGCATTACTCCACTATGCCCACCAGCCAATCAGAGCCACTATGCAAATTAAACCAACAAAGATGGAGGTTAATTTGCATACACAGGCACGGAGCAAAGACTGAAGGCTCTGGCCAGAGTGAAGACTGAAGACTGAAGATGCTTGGCTACACAGGATCAAGCCAAGCCTAACTGTGGCCCCAGTGGAGAAGCCAAGCCTCAAGGTGCGGCCAGACCAAAGGCCTGGGTCCCCGGTGCCGGAGGAAAACCAGTGCCAGCAGCCGGGGGAAGGAAGGCCTATTGCGTGAATCTTTGTGCAACAGGCTTCTAGTCCTATATAATAAAAGGGTAATGTGCAAATCGACCGAATGGCAGAATGACCAGGCGCTGTGATGCGCACTGACCACCAGGGGACAGATGCTCAATGCAGGAGCTGATCCCTGGTGGTCAGTGCGCTCAGCCAGAAGCTGGGCTGATGACTGGTGAGCACAGCGGCAGTGGCAGGAGCCTTTCCCACCTCTGTGGCAGAGTTAAGGATGTCCAACTGACGGCTTAGGCCTGCTCCCCAAAGCCATCACTCGGACATCCCTCAAGGGCTCCTAGACTGCGAAAGGGCACAGGATGGGCTGAGGGACCCTCTGCCCCTGAGTACATGAATGTCATGCACCAGGCCTCTAATTAATTAATAAAAGAACTATAGAAATCATACATTTCTGAATTCAAGCAAGGTATCATAACTTATGTAATCATTAAAGGCCCAGTGCATGAAATTCGTTCACAGGTAGGATCTGTGTGGCAACCGGCAAGGCGATCGGGGGGCCCCTGCTGGCACCTGCCTTGGTTGGCCTGGGGCCTTGCAGGCTGGGGGCAGCTCCTGCATTGAGCACCTGCCCCCTGGTGGTCAGCATGCATCTTAGCAACTGGTCGTTCTGCCAGGTGTTCCGCCATTCAGGCAATTTGCATATTAGGCTTTTATTATATAGGATATTCCCTTGAAAATATTTTGGTCTGTGAGTGTATTGCATTTTAAGGCACAGAAACAGATATAGTCAACAAAAAATTGATTATTTCTTATCATGTAGTGAGTTATTAATATGTACATTTCTAGTAAAAACAATCTGAGAGTTATTTACTTATAATAATCATTTGTTAGACAATATTTTAATTAAATAAATTCTAGCAGCAATGTCTAAAATGGCTGGGTGAGGGAGAATTTAACTGAAACATTAAAAAAGAAAGTAATCTGTCATTAGTCCCAGACAGATATACAGCTCAGGTGTCCCGAATCCGATCATGTGTTGAATCCTGAAAGAATGTCTTTGTTGTCCTAATTATTTTCTCTAACCTATTACACGTGGGTTACAGGAAAACTTTCAAAGAACAAAGAGAAATTGGAGGTTTACCTGTTACATTTACACCGTCTGACCTTTGACACCAGACCGTTCGGGAAGAGCCCTTCCAAGCACTAGCCATCCATTTATACTCGTAACACTGTCCATCTGCAGGGACACAAAACACATTAACAGAAGCACTGTGCTGTCCAGAAGGATAATCATGGTGATAGAGTATTAGTTAAATATTTATAAGCAATTGAAAAGTGATAAGAAGGCCATCTCAAATGATGTGAATGCCAATTTGTTTTCCTCAAGTTACCATATGTGACGCAATTCCAGATATCACCTTAATCCCAAGTAATTTTCCATATCTGCTGTTATACTATCTCATGTAAACCTGGATTTTAATTTTATTTAAACATTATGAAATATCAAACATATAGACAAGGATAGAGAATAACTAAAAAATTTCAATTACGCATCATGCCATTTAACAAATGGGAAGGAAGCAGAGCTTTTTTTTTTTTTAAACCATTAATATTTTATTTAACAAAAACAACTGGGATTATTTCTAGAGCTTACAGTATATTTAATATAAAAATAAGGAATTCTCCAAAAATGCAAAACTTATGGATCCAAGCTAGCCAGAAATTTATGTCACATTTCAGTTACCCAAAACAACAGCTTATGGTCGCCTCCAACTACACATCGTGGGAGAGTTCTATGCCAGGAAAGGCCAGATCCAACGACTACTGAACCAAGGAGGATGGGCTGAGGGTGTCCTAAATGATGAATTTGAAACTGGCTTGCCATTTTGCCAGGATAACCAGTGGTTGCAAACAAATTTTCATTAATTGTGGACCACCTAAATATGCAGGCTCCATCCATGTGGACAGGTCTCTTCACTTGAGGGTAACTGGATCGAGTCATATCCCAAATTAACCAATCATTCCCTGCAACAGCTCCAACGTTGAAGGTGTTTTTTAAACACCAGTGTGCTGACATTAATGGTATCTGTTCTGATTCAAGAGATAAAATAGCCGAAACCGGTTTGGCTCAGTGGATAGAGCGTCGGCTTGCGGACTGAAAGGTCCCAGGTTCGATTCCGGTCAAGGGCATGTACCTTGGTTGCGGGCACATCCCCAGTGGGGAGTGTGCAGGAGGCAGCTGGTTGATGTCTCTCTCTCATCGATGTTTCTGACTATCTCTCTTCCTTCCTCTCTTTAAAAAATCAATAAAATATATTAAAAAAAAGAGATAAAATAGCCTGTTGGGACATAAGATCATAAAATTGAAGAATTGTTCCATTCTTCTCTGCAACCATCAGCTTCAAAGATTCCCCAGGATGCCAGCACACACTCATTCCAGGGGAATTAAGAGCAAAATGAGATGTCTATACTCCGTTCAAGTTCCACATCCTGCAGGTATGGTCATCACTCACACTTGCAATTCCTTGGCTTTCTTTGGGGGTCAAACACCAAACCATTAATGAAATCGGAATGGGCCTCTAAAACCTTGTATTCATTTTTCTCTTGAAGATCTGACATAAACAATCTAATTAGCCATATTTGCTTTAGCCTGTTTTTTGCTTGCTGATGAGTAAAAATAACACATAAACTTGATGTCCTATTACATTCCCTTCTGATCTCCCTTCATGCCTGTCCAGTAATACCCACTATTCTGAAGTAGATAGATGCTCTTCTGTGACCTTTTATATTCTTTTGATATAAATATACTATATATATATAAATGATATAAGGTATTATTTTTAGTCAGGCTCAAAATTTAAAAAGTGTCGTACTCTGAATCATTCTAAAATGTATAGTCCATGTTACAGATGAACTATTTCTATGTGATTTTAATGTAGATGTAGTCAGTTTATTTTATCTTCTATATGTAATTTCATGGTAGTAATTACTATAATTTATTCCACTATTTTCTCTAAGGTTGGACTTTTGGGTTGTTTTCAATTTTTGCTATTATATCAAGCCTCGGTGATCAGCCTTATGTAAGCCTCTGGTTTCCTTAAGGTAACTATCTAGAAGGGACATTTCTGGGTATCACTGTAGGGATAGCTGAAACTTTACTAAATGTAGGTCATTTTTTTTTCCTCTAAAAGGAGGCCATTTACATACCCACCAGCTGAGAATAGGGCTACCATTGCTCTAAACCCTCATGGACCTTCATGATTTCCAGATTTAAAATTTTTGTCAGTCTTGTGAAAAGCTATCTTATCATTTTAAATTGCAGTCTTTTGATTGCTAAAGCTATCAAACAGTAACAAAGATGTTTGGGGACATTAAGATTTCCTCTTATGTGAATTGATCATATATATCTTTGGCCTTTTTCCTATTGAAATCTATACTTTTTCTCCCCCCTTATTGAATAGTGGGACTTCTTTATTCTAGAATAGCAACTCTCAAAGTGTGGTCCAGGAACCATAGGGAACTTAGACATTCTTTTAGAGCATGTGCAGGTGACACCTGTGTTAGGTAGATTTTCTTCTATATACAAGGGGAGCGGGCAAAAGTAGGTTTACAGTTGTGAGTATGCAAAACAGTTTACTCTTTTATTATTACTTATTCATTATTGTATTATTTTCCATATGAACAACTATAAAGCTACTACTTTTGCCCAACTGTGTAAATAAACTAAATTATAATTGCAATAGATTGAACAAAAGCAGATAAGGAACCCAACTGTATTCCTTTAAGCTACAGATTATAGAGATTTGGAAAAATGTAAAACAAGAACATGCTTGTCATTAAACTTATTTTCTTTTTGTTTTTGAAAATAGTTATTTTTCAGGAAATATTTATAGTAACATACAGTTAGTTTATGATTATTTATAATAATAAAAGCGTAATATGCTAATTAGACCGGACAGCCAAACGACCTTCCGGGCGTCCTTCCAGACGACCTTCTGGATGAAGCTGGGGCTGTGAGGACTGAGACAGCTGCTGTGGCTGTGAGGGCCAAGCCCCTTGCACAAATTTCATGCATCGGCCTCTAGTTTAAAATAAATTAACAAACATGTAGTAGTTTGGGAGCCTCAAGTGCTAAGAGTATAAAATTGTCTTATTTTGAAAAGGTTCACAATTGTTCTAAACATTAATCCTTTGAAATTAATTGACATCACGAGTATCATTTTTAAGTCTGTGGCTTGTCTAGTAACTTTGTTTATGGTCTGTGTAGAAGATTTTAATTTAAAGGTATTTTTATTTTTTCCACTTTTGTTTGTGTCTTTTGTGTCATATTGGGGAAATCTTCCATTCTACCTCCCAGCCCCCAACACTCAACTTTGTTTTACTTCTTAAGATTTCACATAAACGGGAGTTTTATGTTTCTTTACATTTTGGTAAACCTCATAATTCAAGTCACTTAAGTTTTATTTTGTGTGCATGTGTGAGTACATATTTGATAGATTTGAGTTTTTAATAGTTATAGAATCCATGGTTTAACTTCTCTATTACTCTTGGTAAATTATAACATTCTAAATTGTCTTTAAGTTTTTACATTGGTTAGCAAAATTTATTCACAGAATGATACTTTTCTAAACACTATTTTATCTGTAGCAATATCAATTTTTTTCAGTGATTTTGCATGAGGTGGTCTATTTTGCTAGTTTGGTAAAAAAACAAGCTATTGATTTTGTTGATTATCTTGCTTCTTTGTTTTCTATCTCAGTGAACTTGTATTTAACTGTATTGGTTACACTGTTTCTCTTTTCTCTTTTCTTTCTTCTTCTTTTTAATTGAGTTAAAAGCTTAGCTCATTTTAAACTCTTCTCCCTCCTATCTGAGCATGTAAGAATTTCAGTTCTCTTCTAAGTAATATACAAAATTTGACATGTAATACACTGAAAGTGTGGTTTTTCAGTTTTTACTTCTCTATGTGCTTGCGGAAGGCTTTCTTTCTCAATTGTAATGTTATTGATGTGTAATTTTATTTAATTTTCATTTTGGGTAAACAATTCTCTTTCTTTGGCTTAGAAATTACATCATTTATTGTAACCCCTGACCTTTTTCTCCCAGGACACATGGGATGTTTTATCTGGTAAGTTTGGGAAGATTTAACTGACAGGGTAGATAATTCTGTTTCAGACCATTTGGCTTTCATTTTAAGCACGCTACTCCAACTTCTAAGCTTTCTCCTCCAACTTTTCATTAATAAAATGTGATATTTTGACTCCTATTTGCTATTCTATGCCATACTCCTTCTTTTCAAACAGAAGCAGGAAGGAGAGAGTTGTTTGCTGAGCCCTACATTCTCCACTACACAGCAATTTATTTTGTTTCATTTAAACTTCATTTGTATTCCAAAACTATGACATTTTATGCTCTGTGGTTCTTAAAAATGTCATGTATTGCTTGTATTTGGTGCATGGCTCTATACGTATGCACATATATACATACAGACATATAGATATGTATATTCAAATAGGTTTGTATCTGATAGAGTAATTTTTACCAGTACTTTTATTTATCAATTTCTGAAAATTTAGTAAAATCTCTCATTTTGCTGTAGGTTTGTAATTTTTATTTATTAATTCTTTTGATTTAAATACATTGAGTATATTTTTAGATTCAGACACGATCAGGAGTGTTATAGGTATACAAATAATGAGCTCCTAATTGTCTCAGCTTTCTTTAGCCCATAAAAGTGGAAGACATTTTCACAATATTGAACATCTAATTTATGAAGAGTGGCAATATTTTTCTTCCGATAAATCTTTAAAATTTAGAATCATACCCTTAATGCAATTCTCAATCTTAAGTGAGATCTTGGCAAACTTGCTTATTTAGCAGAAAATTCTATATCTTGGGCTTTTGCTTATCAACAAAAAACTAAAATGAGTATATCTCATGAATTATACCACTTACCATCACATGGTTTTGTCTCTAACATCTGCTCTGGGCACAGGTGTTGATTCTCTAGTTCTTGTATAATCACTGCTCTTGAACGGACCTGTATTCCACCAAAGCCGAGGTCCTCACCATTCACACAGGTCAGCTGACACAGGCTCCATGAAGACCAGTCCTTCAAATAACAGTCACCTGCAAAACACAGGTATGCAGTTTATACCCATATCCATAAGAATAGCCAGCCAGATAGTCATTTTATTTTTAACCCCACTGGGCAATGCCTGTTGGTATGCCGGTCATATTTGTAATATTTAGATAAGTAGTTGATATTTCCAAGTTTGTATGTAACTTTGTAAGTTTGTATCAGTGTTGTTATTTTCTGAGTGGATGTTATGGGTATGGACTATGCATTGTGTAATGCCATCAAATGCAAACGACTGCTTAAAGGAGCTTGTCTGTTATGATTCCCCTCCTCTTAAGAGACAGTAAATACTTGATTAAAACCTACTACCACGCTTGTCATTCTCATTGTAAAGAGGTTTATTAAACACGTGGTACTCCGCAAAGAAATTCCAGATACACATAGAACTTGTCTTCTAGGTATTCATCATCTCAAAAGACCTTGAAGTCTAAGTCTGAGAAAGCGGTATTTATGCTTTATTCCTATTTCTTCCCAGAGGTGTGCAGCTGAGAGCCAAATGAGCAGCTGCAGGAGTGGCAATAATGCATGCTATTTCTTTGATCTACATCTTTAATTCACATTCCCTTTTTGTCAATTATTGTTTAAAGAATAACATGCTGCAATAATGCACATAATCATAAGCACACAGATAGCTGAGTTTTCACAAGCTGATTATATACTCATGTAACCAACACCCAAATTAAGCAACAGAGCGTTCTCAGAATCTCAGAAAGCCCCCGCATGTTACATATGGGATTGTGCCACATGTAGTTTTTACGTCTGGCTTCTTTCCCTCATTCATGTTTGTTTGTGAGATCCAGCATGTACATATGTACTTGTAATTTGTTCACTGTTATTGTGATACTTTCCTCCCATTGTAGGACTTGCACAAGTTAGATATCCATTCAACTATTGATGGGCATGTGGAGAGCTGTATATTTTTCCTATTATGAATATTACTGTTGTGAACATTTTAGTATGAATCTTTTGTTGAAGTTATATACATGCATTCCTACTGGGTATATATTTAGGAGTGGAATTGCTGGGCCATAGCGTATCATGTGTTTAACATCAATATCTTCAAGCACTTTGAGAACAGGGAGGATTTGTATCTTAATGAATTTTACCTTTTGCACCTTTCCCATATATACATCCATTATTCAGGACTGATTGCTGGATAATAATTGTTCAGAGGATACAGTAAATTATGATAGAAAAATTCACAATGGGTTCTTATCACTTTAATTATTCCAGCTATATCACATGAATAATTCATATAGCCTTTCATTATGCTAAAGTTGCCTAATATTAGCACAAAGTTGCCTGGATACTTTATTAATGAAAAAACTTCTTGTGCCATTATTAAGGAAGCCTAGAAAAACATGAATTATTGACTAACAAATACATACATATAATAGTGAAGTGGGGTGATCTTTTGTAGACTTTATTATAGTATGTCATTAATTCTCTAGTGTCATCCTGAAGGGCAGAAAATTCTTATAAATTTTGGAAGTGCTATGGAAAAAGAACTTAGTAAGAATTTTTAAGTAGTGTGATAACATTTTAGAAATATTTATATCCCCTAGGAAATGCTACTTTTGGGTAACTCAATTTTTAATTATGCAGGAGAAATTTTAAAATTGAAAAATTCCTGTCACTGTGAATGTATATAACTTCACCTCAGTGATTGGAAACTACATGGATATAAACATATCTTTCCACTAGTAGGCTTTATCTATGTGCTTATATCACTCGACACATGTGCTTTGTAAAAAAACTCAAAAAATTGTTTAATGATAGTCTGTGAATGATACCATAACAACCCCCTAAATAATCCATGTCAGGCCTCAAAGATTTAATAGCAGCTAATGAGAGTGAGGCATTGTCTTGTACTGAACATTTTTTTATATTTTGACTATATAAACCATCGAAATAATAAACTACACTATGCCTGCCAAAGATATGACAATTAAGTGTATGACATGCATTTCTTACTTCAGTATTTCTCTCTTTAAAGCACATTAATTCACATATTGCTCGCTTTCAAAACATCATTGAAGGAAACTATCACCGGAGGAACTGAAATGAATAAATTGTAATTTATAAGAGAAGAACAGCCTTCTCCCGGATTTGTAATTACTTTAATTAGAATGATGTGTTTGCCCTATTCTATGTTATTAAGGGATACTTCAGTTTCCCTTCCCATCATTTCCCACATATTTTAATCTTATGTTTACTTATGTCCTTATTGAATTAGCAACTGTTTCTCCCATAAGATGGTAAACTCTATGAGGACAGGGTAGGTTTGTTTCCCAATGTATCTCCAACGTTGAGCCCAGTGCCTAGTCTACAATGACGTTTGATGAATAATAAAGTGGGTGATTGTGCTGCAGGAAGTATAATGAAAATAAGTGGGGAGGCTCCACAATAAAGCATATGCTAATGCCTGGCAAGAATTCCAGTACTGCCCAATGTTGTGGGTGTAACAATGATCCTATTATTGGCACTGGAGGTGTGGTGTTGGACTAGGTAAATCTTCCCACATTTAGCTTCGGTCAGCGTTTGTTGACAATGTGGCCGTTCAACACATCAAAGCCCCAAGGTTCAGTCTTTGGTCCTGTGTAGAGTCCTTACCTGTTGCCTCAACCTCTGTCTTCTGTGAAGCAAAATGATTTTATTAGAGTATGTGTGAGACCTGGACTGAAATCAGGCCAGGTTGGGGAGCAGGAAATGGAACAGGGTAATTGCTGGATCAGGAAAAGGTTATTATTGGCAGGTGTGGGAATGTCTAAGAAGCAACACTTTGCCTAGGTCCGGAAATTCAGATTTTTAAAAAAATTATTTCTTAACTGTAAATAGATGAAAATATCAGTGTGTGCAAATTTTATTACATATACACAGTAAGAAATGCCCTTAAAGTCTAGCACATAGTTCAAGGTATCAGGGGTTATTTTATTTATTCTTTTGTTCAATTTTCAGTTCATCTTAATAATAAGCTATAAAAGTTGCCATTATTATCACCTCAAATAATTTACTTATTAAAGAATAACTTAATTGATGAGTGAATAAATGAGCAACCCTTGTCACCGTTTTTCAGCTTTCAGACACTTAATTCTATTTTAAAAATTTTAAAATTGTAACTTATCCATCCTTAAAGCTTTCTTAAATTATATCCTTTTTATATGGAAAATATGTTTTATGCCCAATCATTATTTGTTTACCAAACCCTCAGTTTTATTTTTTTGAGATCTTATTCAAAGTAACATAGTTCTTAACAGACATATTTTTTTCTTACCATTATTATAAGCAAATTGGGAGAATAAAAATTTCCATTTGAGAGTAAAATATAGGTAATGCACTTTCAATTTTGTTCTCTTCTAGTCCACTAATCATCTGTTGCCTCCATATCTTTCCCAAGGCCTTAGGCATGATCATACTTGACTTAAAGTTTATTTTGTCTGTTGCCTCCATATCTTTCCCAAGGCCTTAGGCTCATACTTGACTTAAAGTTTATTTTGACCTTCTATCTACCCTAAAGTTCTCTGTATCAAGCCCAAATTCCTAAATATTAGCTTATCACTGTCTGCCAGTTAATTTTTTACTATTTGATACACAACATTTGCTTTCCACATTTTATTGCATGCACCCCTCCTGTCCAACACTGCATCAGAATGATCACTTTCAATGTTTTCTTCTGTAATATTATTTTTCACTCTTGAATGATAATTTAGTTGGGGACAGAATTTTAGGTTGATGATTATTTTCCATCACATTTCAAATATAGTCAAACGCTGCATAACGATGGTTCGGTCAACGACGGACCGCATATACGATGGTGGTCCCATAAGATTCTAATGGAGCTGAATTTCCTGTAAGAAATGGAAGGGTATATGGTTCAGGAGGATGTTAAAACTCTAAGGGGGCAGGGGTGTCCACATTGGCCACATGGGGGTCCTGGACTTCACCCCTACCTGATAGTAAGGAGGCAATGCCCCACTTCATCCACATGACAGTGTCTGCCTGTTACCAGATATTATTGTACCCAAGGCCTGCTGACATCCCTTAACTCAGACTATATATCTTGGTCCCAGACTGGGTAAGAAATGATCAAAACATAAATGCTGTTTTGCTGTTGTTACCTGGGCAAGGTTGAGTGCAGGTTTCCTCTAAGACCATTTTTTTATTACCCTCTATAATGGGTTCAACATCAGCACAGAACTCTTCATCCACTGCTTTGCTGAGATCATCAACTGACCCATCACTCACTACACAAGAAATGTTTCTTGTTCTGGTCCCTTCTCCACACTGGGCATCCTGGAATGAAGAAAGAAATAATTAGAAAAAGAAAAATAATTCATTAGTGAGCTCATCACTTACAGTCATCTCTGCACCGTGGGTTTTGATTTATGAGCAGTTAAGGAAGTACTTGAAACCCTAGGGAAGAAGTCCTATAGGAGCATACATGAACAATGTATTTGTTTTCTAGCCAAAAGCAGGCCGATAAATTTTCATTAAAACGAGTCAGTCTCCAAATGACTTAAAAAAATACAGGACAGGGAGTGCTTGTTATCAAAACTAATTAAAGTAGTTATGAAACAGCTAGGTTCCTAGAATCTTCAAGAGGAAACATGCTGTGTAAGCTCTGAAAAATGAAAATTCCGAAACTGTCTCCGCACATAAAGAACACACGTTTCCACACACCGTCCTAGGATTTGATACCTGCACTTGGCATGGAGACCACGGGCCATATTGCCACCGATAACAGGGCTTTACTGGGCAAGGCTTGGACTGCTCCATCAGGGCAGGGCACGGTCTTCCGTCACCCTGAAAGGGCTGTGTAACTGTCCGTCTTCGGATCATTTTCCCTTTAAGAGACACAGAGGGATGCAGTGTTAATGATATGTTACTGTTGCGCAACAGGTATTTTATGGGGAGAAGGTGTCCTAGACTCTCCTGAGGAGATCTGAGGAACAACTAAGTCTCAGGTGATTTGGAAAGAAAGACACCTTGATTCGACCTAACTGAAGTTTATTTGATGTGACTGAAGGCAAGAGGGACATTTTATCTCGGATTCTTTGACCATGAGCTGAATGCTAATGAAGGTACAAACGAACCTGTGAGGCCACATGTTTGAGAACATTCGGACCACGGAGACCACTCGGACAGCTGGCAGTTGACAGGGCATTCCACCATGCAGGATGTGTTCATCTGCCAGGTCTTCTCCAGGCCCAGCTGAAAGGACAGAGGCAGATCTGTTTGCATTGACATGAAGGCATGGCCACAAGGTATGGTTGATGGAAGGAGGAAGAAAGGAAGGGATAGAAGTTGGGATGACGGGAAAGGAGAGAAGAGAGGAAGAAGAAGTAAGATGCCTAATAGAATAAAACGATATCTACAGGAAAAACACTCACACTGTTAAGAACATAAAATGAGAAGGGGAGCTAAGGTCATAGGTTAAATGGAGGAGACCACCTACTTGATATACTTATATAGTGTTACTTTTCAAATATGCAATGAATAAAAGTACATTTAATCTCCAAACAGGTTGAGTTTCTCTAAGTGAGGAACAAATAAGTGTAAGGATGACTATTTTCCATTTGTTAAAAACTAAGAATGTCATCAATATATACATCTGTAATTGTATCTTTGGGACAACTTATTTTTATATGTGCACATTAAACAGAAAAGCGAAAGGGGAAGGTTTTCAAGACAAATTGCTACTCAAAACTAATGACATAATTTAGTATTGAAATACTAAAAAATATCAGTTTTTAGTACACCAGCTCTCTAAAAACTCTGGGTCACTAGACTTTTTTGATTAATATTTTATATATATATTTTTAATTACATAGATTTTTTTCTTCTAAAACTGATCTCAAGCTAACAGTGATATAATTCAACTTAGTTTTAGTCTCTCATCAGATAATAACATCATGCCATTGTATTGGCACTGAGTTCCAGCACTTATTCACACATTTTACTTTTAAAATATAAGATGAGATTTCAAACTCACCTACTGTATATGCAAACATTTAGAAAGTCTAAGGTACAAAGTAGCATTGAAATTGAAAAATTTAAGTGCATGTTAGGAGAATGTAATTTTTTAAAAGTATATATATTTTTATTGATTTCAGAGAGGAAGGGGGAGAGGGAGAGAGCGGGAGAGAGAGAGAGAAACATTAATGATGAGAATCATTGATTGGCCTCCTGCACACCCTCTACTGGGGATGGAGCCGGCAACCTGGGCATGTGCCTTTGACCGGGAATCAAACCTGGGACCATCAGTCCACAGGCTGATGCTCTATCCACTGAGCAAAACGGGCTAGGGCAGAATATAATTTCTCAATTTGATATTCCTTGGGATTTTTGAGACCTTTTTTATTTTTGTATGAAAGATTATGAGGTGGCAAAAGAAAAACTTTCTGAAATGTTATGCTGTGGTTCAAGTATAGCTCTTGGCTCTAAGTTACCCACTGAGAGAAGCTCAGATCAATGATTTGTATACATGCCTCTGCAGGTGCTCCCACATATTCTCCACTGGTAATACTTGACAAAGATGAGCATTTGATATGAAAATTTTTACCATATCACTTACGTAAAGTCTCCAAGTCACTTAAAGTTATGGGAGGTTAAGGATGCAGAGGTCCTCAAACTTTTTAAACAGGGGGGGGGCAGTTCACTGTCCCTCAGACATTCCACACATGCGCACTGCAGGCCCGGGACGAGTCGGCTGTTAAGCAGGACAGGCAGCGGCGGCAAAAACACCCGGCGGGCCGGATAAATGTTTTCGGCGGGCCGCATGTGGCCGGCGGGCCGTAGTTTGAAGACCCCTGGATTAGAGTCTTAGGTGATATGATAAAAATAATGTGTTATAGTTAAGGTACATTGCATTTTCAAAGAGAGAGGGTTTGAATCATAAAATTGAATTACTACTAACTTATTTATTTAACTCGAAAATTAAAAAGGATATCTATTTACAGATATTCTGAGTATCCAGTACTGAGACAGTTTAACCCTGTCCTGCTTTTTTCTTTACACTTATTGCATTTCTTTTTTCTGCCTATTATCTATCTATCTATCAACACCATTTATATAAACTTGTTTAATAAAAAAATCTGCTCAGGGATCAAAGAATAGGAAAGGAGAAACCAATTACTAGGTATCAGGTGAGTAAATGTCTGAAAAACATCAAAGACAAAAATACTGTATAAATACTGGATGGGCTTAACCCCAATTTTCTTCTTTGTTGGGTAGTAATGCCATTTTTCTTTTCAGCTGTTAGAGAAACAGCAAGAGTTGGCTACTGCTGTTGCACCGAATGTGGGGTTTTCACACGTATTACCAGGCAGGCAATCCATCCACAGTTAAAGAGAGAGCCAGCTTTTCTCAGGGCTGTTATTTAATCCTACGGCATCCATGGGATATGAGTTGTTTAATTCAATTCCTGCGGCGAGGAGTACTGTTCTCCCTGAAGACAGCATTTGCTACACTGTTATAATTTAAGTCCCTAATTGTCATCGCAGTATTCAAACATAACAATATTTGTACATAGAGTAAACTTATCTAGTCTCCTGGATTCTCAAAATTAGTTATTTGTCGGGTTTTTATTTAAATTTTACTTTAGAAGTAAGGACCCTTTTTGTACCTTTGTCCTGTAGTCATATGAACTATTTTAAAATTGGTCTTAAATGATTGGGGTTTAGCTTTCAAAAAGCTCTCAGAGCTTACTCATCGTATATTACATTCCGACTCAGGAGGGCATTTATATGTGAATTTGTAAGAAAAGAGACATGTTAATCAAGTAGAAGCAGATCACAGAAAACTCTGCAGCCAGCGTATGACTATAATAATATTCATTAGTAATAATGTTATTTTTTAACAATGGTTCCATTACTTTAATGTTATTAGTTTCAAAAGTGATTCAGATATATAATTTCTAATTAAATCGAAAGTATGAATAGACTAAGTTATAAGATGATAGTGAGAGAAATTTATTAACTAGACACCTTGTGTCCGGCACATTTGGGAGCTTTGTTCACATGGAAAGAGACATGAGGAAATTAAGTTAGGTCTATGTGATAAAGGTATCAAATGGATTAACATGTTTTCACCTCGAGTTTTCCATTAGGAGTCAGAACAACTTACTGTGGGCATATAGCAGCCCCCAGGGTGTGAAGCCAGAGGTCCTGGTCAGCATGTCTACTGAGCCCTAATGAGGTCATAAGCTCTTCCTGTGTGTTCTAGACATATCGAGGCTTCTGTTTATCTTGGTTCACGTTTAACCCAGTTTGCCTCAGACTCAGGAGTCTAAACCTCTCAGGAATGTGAGTACCCTTTCGTTTGGAAACCAGACAATATAATTAAACTGTGAAGTGTAGCTTCATGAAAACTAAGAAAGGCCAACAACTGTTCTCTCACATTGCATAGCGTCCTATCTAGAAATGATGACATTATTTTTGCAAATTGAAGAATTTAGAATGACTATTCTTTGTAGCTGAAAGATACTAATGGCAGACTCCATTCCCTTATTTGAATTCCAAGCTCTCTCTCCTCCACACCTGAGTGCTTAGACTCTCACAGCTGGGTATCAGATCCTAATATCAAAATCTGCTACAAACCCACATGCGATCAATGTTTAGCAACAGAGAGAATGAATGATGGATCTTGGCAGGTGTCCCAGGCAACACAAAATTCAAATGAAATTACAAAGATGATGAGTAGTCTGATTAAGATTTATTGCCTATATTCACCTTGATTACTTATTGTTCCCCAAGCATTTCTTTCAGAAAAAGGTAATTAGCATACCTCTGGGCTCCAAGCAGAACAAAATACAGGAAATTATGTGTAGAAATCAGTAATGTTGGATAGTGTCTCTTGTCAAGAGGGTGCTTAACAGCCTCTGAATAGTGCAAAAAAACAACAAAACATCTGCTGGCAATGAGCTGCGTGGTGCACAGGTCACTTGGCTCAGCATGAATGGAAATTATTAGGAAAGAATTTACTCACAAAGAAATAACACAGCATCCCCTCACCTCCTCACAATATTTCGGGTCAACCGACTTGCCATCACTTCGAACACAGTCCAACATCCTTGTTTTAATGCCATTTCCACAAACTGCCTTCTCACTCAGCTGACACGTACTCCAATCTGCAAGGAAGGGAGCCCATCAGAACAGAAGGCCATACATGAAACAGATTTCAAATGAAACTCTGATGAACCGAATCCCATATTTAATTCACAACTGCTTCTTAAGCCCCACAATCAATCATCCCACATGCAGAGCATATGGGTCCCGGCTCTGAACGTATCAGGAGTCAGATGGAATTGCCAGGGTTGCATGTCGCTACAGGGATTATTCTAGAAGGCAGATGTCTACTTGACCGTCTTGATAGCCATTTGGTGATATTGTAAAAATGGGGTTGGCCTGCAGATCAAAAGTCACTTAAAAATGTTTTTTCCAAATAAAAGCAGAAATGTCAATTTTAACGTTATATTTGTTTTAGCAAAATAATCATAATTTTAATGGATAGTACTTGCACTGGGCTATGTTTGAATAAAACACTGTATTTCACTTCCATACTTAGAATGTTTTAAAATATGCACTTATTTCAAAATCTTTTTGGTCACATTTATTTAATTCTCTCATTTCATGTCTTTTTCAAAAGAATCCTTTCATCTCTCTTTTTAGAGTAACCTAGCATATCCCCAAGAACCGCAATTTCCTTGTGTCATCAAAGAAAACTGAAGGGAAAAATCAAAAGCAACAAAAGCCGACCTGACTGCTGCGTATCGTTGTACCATTTCTGTACTTTATACCACTGTGAAAATTACTTGAAAAAATTCCAAAATCAGCTTCAGTGTTTCCCCAAGCCATATACACCAACAACTCTTCTTTCTTACAGTATGTACCTTGATGGTAAGTGGCAAGGATTAGGAAAAAAAATCGAATTTAAAATAAGCCTTTTTTCCTGAAAAAACAGTCACCTACCCATTTTTTATCTGCACCTTTGATCATATTGAAATAGTTATATTTATATATTTTTTGGCAAGGGTGGGCTTGCTGTTGTTTTTACATTGGATCAATCATGCATATGAAGGGCCCTCACACGAAGAATTGTTGTCATACTACGTTATCGCAATTAAACAACTCCTGAAGAAGGACGGCCTCTTTCAGTAAACCTGATACCCGCAGGAACGCTACCTTAGTCACACCTTCCCAAAGTGGGAGGATGTCTTAAAAAGGACGAATCAGACTATTCACAATCTAGTGTCGGGCTAATGTTTGTGTGATATTTTCATTACCTGTATCTTGATATTTATTCAAAATATAATAGATAAATATCTCTGTCATTATTAATAAAGAACAATTTCTGGCAGCATGTCCAAAAGGCACACAGACGGAGATGAACAATTCTCACGGATCGCTGCTAAGCTAACACACACGGGCTTCGGCCTTTAACTCTGTGATGAGGTGACGATCCACCTACCTGTTACATTGTAATCATAGTGGAAGCAGTTTCTGTTCAGGTTACAGGGTTCCGTCTCGACAGCATCAGGGCAGACTCTTCCCTCATCAGCAGGTTGTCTGATGGGATCCGCTGACCTTTGCCGGAAATTGCTTTGATTGCAAGGCTGACAGAGAATAACACAACTTCTCAGAGAGGTGAATACGCAGGCACATGAGGGCTAATGTGTCAGGGAGAGCGCTGGAGCAGGAGTTAGTGCACTGGGGCCACTGACTACCTGGAACAATCTCATTCCACTTCATTTTCTTCTGTGTGATCAAAGTGTTGGTGAGCTTCTGATCTAGCTACAAGAGGCTTAAGAGTCTATGTGTCAAATATTCATAGACACATCATATCATAGGTACACAAACACATTCATATGGCCATATTAATTATTGTAGATCACGAATACAGACATTATCTACCTACCTACCTACCTACCTACTTATCTAATATATAGTCTGTTGGTCCCAAAAAACCATTTTAAGGGTAACTGTAAATAACTAGCTGTTAGTGATATTTATTTTCCTAAGGCACATATACATATGCACACAAATACACAAGCAGGTAAAAGATTGGCTTGCATTCTCCTACTGGTACAGTCATGTTCTAAAAGCATTTGGCTTCTAAGAACAAGAGCAGTAACTTCAAACCTCATGTTAATGGGATGAGATCATTTGCATACCTCCGTGAAACAGATGATTCTTTATTACAATTTAACGGCATCCAAGTCAACTGCTAGCCCTGTTTTGTTCCTGCTCTATCATTTGGCTGCTAATCAACACCCTTAGTAATGTTAACACTGAAATAGAAATTTAAGTTTTCCTTGAAAACATGAATTATAAATGTTTTGAAGCTGTTCTGTATTGTACCTCAGCAAATTAATTCCACATTTCATGCAGTTTCCCTATGCTTCTGAAGCCATTTTAAAATGTGCAGCTTTACAAAGGTGCCCAGGGGTAAACCCAATTTTCTACATCATCAGCCAGTTCTGTTTCAAACGATTCTCTTCCCAGGGTCCCATGGAAGAGCCCCTACGGGCTGCTGAAATCTAGAAGCTTTTGTGTGATTTGAAGCTCTCAGCTGGCTTCCCAGGCCCAGAGACACACAGAGTCAGTCAGTGTGTGGAAAGAGATTCATTGACGCGCAGCTTTCTTCCTTCTACTCTCTCTCTCCAGGATCATTTGTGCTTTAGTGTCAATACTCCTGCTGCAGAACCCCCACTGGGTGAAAGATTATTCCTACAATTTAAGTAAAATGGATTGGGCAAAAAGCAAGGGATGACAATAACCTGACACCATTAAAGTACTTTTACTAGAGGTTTATTCTTTGTCTCCGTACCTGGAGGGAGTCATTATCACCACTGCAGTTCTTAACCCGCTGTGTATTTGTAAGCCCATCTGCAGGCTTTCTGTGCTGGGTTTGGAGGATGGTGGAGTACAAAGCTTGCAAGAGGTCAAGCTGTTCTAGTGTTAGTGGAAATATTGCTGATTTCACATGGCACAGTCATAGAATGAAGTAGCCAAGAAAATACACCTTGCTTTGGGAACTAATTTGGTAAGTAATTTAGAATAATTTCTTTAAAACTTTAGTGGTGATGAATTAAGCAACCTCTATGTGAATGAGTGGCTAATCGTCTCACCAAAGTGCATCGAGTCCACGGACCCCACTCAGATATGACACAGTCCTCAGGACACGGTAATTTGCACTCTCTGGAACCCAGGGGCATCTCCTCTGGGTCACAGAGGTAATCCTCAACATGCTCAGAAGGGCCATCCGCCGTGTTCTGCATGCATCTGCAAGAAAGCATACCTATCAATGCAGGAACCAGGACAGTTAATAAAAGGCCAACACATAGAATAGAAGGTGCATTTTAAGACATCATTGTGGGGCAAGGATGGCTGCAGTGTGGAAAGCTTTGCATTTAATGAATAAAATTCATCAAACATGAGGACATAAAAGGATCTCTGCCTCTCATAAATATTCATAGAGCTTTGGTATGATTTTAAAAATTATCCTTGTAGGCATCATCACAATTTTTAAAAAGTATAGTCACTGTGGTCAGCTGGTGTGACTCAGTTGGTTGGGCGTTGTCCCATGCATCAAGAGATCACCAGTTTTATTCCCCGGTCAGGTCATATGCCTGGGTTGAGAGCTCAATCCCCAGTAGAGTATATCTGGAAGGCAGCCTATTGATGTTTCTTTCTCATCTCTCTCTTTTCCTTCCTCTCTCTCTAAAATCAATAAAAACATTTTAAAAAGTATAGCTACTGTATGTATATAAACTCTGTATGTCTTCCTCTGAAAGGAATGGGTCATTCTAGACTAATGAGAAGTGGTCCAAAGAGATTCATAGAGGGGTTGTAATTTGGGAATATAATACACTTTTTTCTTCTGAACAAAATGGTAGAGTCTATAGTGAAGGTAGATTCATACATGGTGGAAGACCAGCCACACTTAAATCTCCTAGTGAGAAGTTTCATAAAGTGTTTTTGAAAGTAGCTGGTGGCATTTATCCAATTGTTTGGCAAACAAAGAGATATTTACCATCCTATCTGCTGATAACTTTAAGGAGTTCCAGAAGTGGAAAGACAATTATAATAGGTGTCACACAAATTCTCTAAATGTGCTTGTTGGATTTTCCTGTATCTTGACCTTTTTGATGGTTAGTTTTCTTTTTCACAATAAATTCAAACACTTTATTACATATCATTCTATTGTAAGCAGTCATGAAGGGCTCTTCACCCACCCTGGGAATCTAATTAATGTGGCTAGTACCAGACTTCACTTGTACCATAGTTAACTCTGTGTACTTTTCTAGTAAAAGAGGAAAACCTTACCCCTCATCTATAACTTGGTAAGATCAACCAAATTAATGGGTATAGGGACAGAACTGAATTGCAAGAGATGAAAAGGAAGGCTTGAGCTCTTAAGCCTCTCAAATCCATTGCGAAGTTTTAAACTGTGAGTAGAATTACATTACTAATTATACCTGAAATCTCAACTATTTTCAGGAATTTGCAATCAGTAGGGACATTGCATCTTCTCATATTTACTCTGCAGAATAACCCTCTATATAGTGCTGCCTAATTTTAAAAAATGTTGTTTGCCTGTGTGATGCATTCAGACTAAAAAACTGTACTGTTGCTCCTGTCTTAAGTAGCTTTGTAGCCGGAAAAAATATCTAAACAAATACCCTCCTCTGCATTTTTTTTGTAAACTGCATAAAAGAGCAATTGCAAAACCACACAAAGGTAGATGTCTGATTTCATTGTTGAAAGAAAAATTAAACTATAAATGTCTTTGAGAAAATTTTAGTTTCTCAGGAAAAAGTTCCACCTTCAATGGCATTTTTCAAAATGTTCTGCTGACAGCAGCTGTGCGAGGACACAGAACAAATGGGACAGTTCAATGCTCAGAGTTGAATTTGCTGCTAAGAAAACACTGCATCCATGGCGGGTACTGACACAGGTACAAGGATCAACTCGCAAAGTTACCTATTGATTCAGAGTGAAGGACAGATGTTCAATACTCTATTATGTAGTTATATACATAAAAGCCCATTTTCAAAGGTTTTTTCTTCCTTTAACTTTTATTATGCAGGTAACATATTAATTTTAAGAAAATAAGAATAAATAAAATTTCACATAATTCTATCAGAGATAACCACTCTAAAAATATTATATTTAAACATATGTTTTCATTTCGTTAAATAAAACTTATCACTATTTGTACCATTTAAGAAAAAACTACACCAACAATATTTTATAGACATCTATTCATGTTGTTAACCTTTTTCTAAGTTATTAATTTTAATGACTACATTTGAATTCCATCACTTGAATGTGCCACAATTGCTAAAAACCCTTGCTGTTGACATTCAAATTATTTATAAGTTTTATTTATTTTATTTTGCGTTAATGATTTTATTACTCTAGAATGATAATAAATATTTGGATCAAGTTTTGACCTCAAAGGAAGACCCTGTAAATTCATTTGCTTTTTTGAAATTCTTGGCCTTTTCTTTTTGTATATGAGAGGAATTATGCTGTGAGAAAAGGGAATTATATCCAGAAACATAGTACAGACTCAAGTTGGAGGCCACAGGTGTAGGAAAGTAGGTGCATTGTCAGCAGAGAATTCAAAAGCAACAATAAAAATAACCAAATAGCTCTGTTTTTATGATCACAATGTGCTGGCACTTTAAAAAAATGCCAGTGAAAAAATATCTCTTCCCACCAGAGCAAATCACTTTTATCACCCAACCTTTGAAATGTCATACCACCCTAAAAGCAAAAGAGCAGGATGGAATATGTTGAATCCTGCTCTCAAAGATCATGTATCCTAAAATGTCACCCAATGCTTGCATCTAAGCAGGACGTTTTGACCTTAATTAGCTGAGGATAAGGTTAGGGAGGTCCACTCCTCAATCAGTACAGAAACATTATTACATGATCAGAGATGACAATCAATGCTGACCTTTTCTCTTCTCTATTTTTATTAAAGATGTTTACTGAAAAATAAATTGATCTGAAAAGTTACTTAGTTTAGGATGTGTTTGGAAATATTCAGAATATTTTTTCACACCGAGAGCTGTCAGGCTTTGCTCGGCTACTTGGAACCTACGTATGCAAATTAACTGCCAACTTTGTTGGGTTAATTTGCATACTCTCCTGATTGGCTGGAGAGAGTAGCAGAGGGATGGTCAATTTACATGTTTGTCTATTATTAGGTAAGATATTTGTTTCTAACCAAAACACCAACCTGATCAAATTCTTAATGTAAGAAAAATATTTTTAAATTCAAAGTGAAATTTTAAATTATGGAACTCTTAAAATGTATCTAGTGTGACTGAGAAAACACATTTCTAGTTTTAATTCATTTAAATTTAAAGTGAAAATAGCCAAATATGACTATGGTTACCCTACCAGTCAGTATGGCTACAGAAGAAGAAATGAGGGGCATTAGCCAATGCTGTTTTAGGGAAGGCTTCCTGAAACAGACAAAAGTATTCAAAAGTTGGCCAGTTTGATATAAAAGAGCAAGAGTTTATAACAGATTCCTATTAAAATGCAGCCAGAAATACTTTTGGCCTTTAAGGAACAAGTCATTGGGGTTTGAAAATCAGCACTGGTTCAGCTCTCCTGCAAGAAAAGCACCTCAGAGAGAAGCTTCCCAAATCAGAAGCCGAACATGATAAACTGCTGCTTGAAGCAGATCTTTTTAGAGTTTTCCATGAACACAGATTCCTTAAAAATAAAACTAAAGTCCACTTATTAGAAGGTTGGGAAGGAGTGAATGCTCAATTTGGCAGGTATGAAACTGGGAGGTTTGTGTGTTTTGCTTCCCTGTGTAAACCGACGTGGCCTCACCTCACTTTTCGGGTTTGCACACCCCCTCCGCAGTTGTCTGGCATGTTCACAAAGGTCACCTTGCACACGCTCCACGGCTCTGTGACCCATAGGTACTGGTTGCAGTCACTCTGGCAGGGGACGACCTCATACACCTGAAACACACACAGGTCTCAGTGATCTCATCTCAGGTACCCGATGAGAGTGGGAAGATTTTACATCACAATAATCATTCTATACATATCTTAGCTACTTTCATTTCTCTCCATTATTTGAAATTTCTTGAGAGTTCTAGCACTAAAAAGGACAAAACTAGCTTTGCCTTTTGCCCCATTGTAGTTGTCGATCCACATTTAGTGAGACAGCACAGGGACTGGGGCCCGGGACTGAAGGAATACCAGATGGTCTGAAGGAACACCGGATAAGCTGACTACAAAAATGTCCCCACCCCAGCTCCTCCTTGACCAAGAATGAAGTAGGCTTTCTTATCTCCCTTCTAACCACTTCCTTGCGGAAGTGAAACCATTGTTCTGCACATGCAGCTGCTCAAAGTTTGACTGCTATGGTATACACCTTCTGGGATGGCAGTAGTGAGCAGTCCAGCCACCAAGACAGTTGCTAAGCAACTAGACAGCAGGAGGAAGTAGCTTGACCCTGACATGGAAAATTTCACAAGTTAGCCTTTTTAAAAAACACCCACCTTTGTGTGCAAGTCTGCCTTGTTCCCAGCTTATAAAAGCTGCCAAACAGAGGCAGGCCCCGACTGCCCCCCCCCCCCCCCGCCCCCAACCAGTAAGTTTGGAGGACCTTCCTTTTCTCTGTGCTGCCTCCCTTGTGTTTGAATATCAGTTTAGTAAAATTTGTCTAGAATTTTTTCTGGTGGTTCCCCTGATTTCTATCGTGGGAAACACAAGAGCCCCAAACTCCATAACATTCCCACAGTATTGCAATTTCCTAGGCCATCGGTCTTGTTTACAGTGTTGTGTGTCTTCAATACTTACCCCAGGGTACTCATATGTTAGACAATCAATACAGATTTGTTAAATAAATGAATGAATAACAAATGAATGACTTAATTAAATAGTGTATAAAAGTAGCGATTTTCAAATAATTGGGCTTGTTTATAAAATATGTGCAACAACCAAAACTTGTATTTTTTTGTGCTCCATTTATGAAACTAAATTAAAAGATAAATAACATGAAATAAAGCTATCTTCAAACTTTAGTTAGGGCTTGGAAGCAAGGTCTGAAACTGGGTCTCACATTACACAGCTACAGCCTACAGCAGGGAAGGCCACTTGAAACAAAGCAAATTGTGCACTGTATCCATACAAACTTTCAAAGCCCCAAGTTTGAGGTGTTTGTTTGGTTTCAGGATTTTTAGAACAATGAACAAGGATGCCTTGTTTTGCAATCAGAAGAATGACTAAATAAAGGAAATAAATAGATCACAATCCACTGCAATAGAGGTGAGTCAACCATTATAGAAAAAGTGTTTAAAAATCATTTCAAAATCTATAATTATCCACCTCCATCTCTTATTTTACACACACATACACACACACACACAATAGCATGTGAATGCTTATATAACCAATTACAGAGAATATAGATTTAAATAGCTCTTTGGAGCTATTCTTTTGTGTAAATTTTAGTGAACTAAACACCCAATTAAAGTGACAAAGTAAATTTATGCCATATAATAATAAAAAATGTGCACCGTTGAAGTGAGAATCTATATTTACTGTCAGATGATCACATTCATATTGGGAGCTGTGTTCAGATATGACTGATTTCTGGTGCAGAAAACATTACAATTTGTGGGGAAGGAACACACCGAAGGGGAAATGCCATCCTTCCTGGTCCTTCGATGGCTTGCATGCTAATCTCTTACACTGGAGTGAATACAGATCAGTTCAGAGCCTCCTCCTGCCGCCCACTTGCAGTCCCCTGCACCTTTAGCAGGAGGGGTCAGTGCCTTTTCAAGGCTGAGGCTGGTGAAGGAAAGCTTGTTTCCCACCCCCGCACCTCAGGCCCTGATTCTAAGATGAGAAAACACAGGCACCATGCTAAAATATAATATCTTCTCCCTGTAAAATAAGAGGCAATTGTAGAAAAAAAATACATTCCCTGAAGTCAGGCGTAAAACAGGAGATAAACAACACTCTGTTATGAACTGTGAGGTTTAAGAGTTCTTACCTGGGCCTGGAGTGGTTATAGTCCACACGGATCAAGACAGGGAGAGAAGCAAAGAGAAGTAAAATGTAAGTATATTGAATGAGAAGAACTCATGTTTCAAGTTTCAAATGTTATTATCCCTATAGAAAATACTTTTTTTGTGTGTGTGTGTGGGGGGGAGATAAGGAGTAAATAATTAGAACACTTTTCTCAGTCCCCGGGAGAGAAAAACCAACTCACTGTTTAAAGGTAAGATACACTAATAACTACTGCAAACAGCAGAGTCACGGAAAGTATTAGGTGGGGAGGGTACAGACAACTCCGACAATGGCGTAGACCTCAACATACTTATCATATTGATCGCAGGGAACTGACACGGAGCTGCAAATGTCCTGCGCTTCCAACTGTGAATGGTTATCTATTTACAGATTCATTGATTGATCGATCTATCCATCTTCATCCATCCATCCATCCATATTTTGTAAGAAATGAGGATTTGCTTCCTCAATGGGAAAATAGAACCTCAAACACCATTTTCAAGTCAAAGTGCCACTGATTATATTGAGGAATATTTAATTGTAAAAAAGTCTATATGACTTCAACAATTTTCAACATTAACACAAACCTCTGCATATTCTTTGCTCTTCTAATACATTACCAATATATAAATTCTTAAAAGTTTATTTTTATAAAATGAATTATTTCTTCTTTTAGCTATGATATTTTAGTTGTTAAAGTCTCAGTACACCACCAGTAAGCTGTTAACAGGTACCCAGATGTCCTTTTCAAACTCTGCATTAGACTACATTAAAGTTGGAGAGTGACTGAGAAATGGCTTAGAGGAAAGACTTTTCATAGCAAAGACAATTTGGCATGAGGTTTTGAATCTTTTCAAATTCACCATTAAAGAAAAATTTCTCTTTATTAGAACCATGACCAAAATTTAATAAAATTTACATTTACTATTGGAAATTCGAGATTTCAAAACTCACAGAAAAGTGTTGTTTTGTATTACAGACATTACGGTTGAGTTATTCTGTTTCACTTGGGTCAAGGAGCTACATCTTTTTCTTTAGAAGCATTCCCAAGCACAGGGACACTCGATTACCAATAGATGGCAGCAGTGCAGTATATTACTAACTTTTAGTTGAATTTAAGGGCAAATTTAGCTACTTGGGGAAAAATCCAGATTCTTTCAAAGTACTTTCTATAGAATTTAATTCTACACTTTCTTAATCCTAGTCCCTTTATTCATGAGTTCTTTTTACTCTCTCTACAGTGTATTTTTATTGCTATGAACAAATTTAGGTTAATTTGGGAAGGAAAGTTTGGGTCCTGGTGGGCAGTGTATTTGGAGATTAAAATTAGTCTATGTGTATATGAACTATATCTATACATTTATGGTTGGTTCATACATATGACTTGGTTCATTTGATTGTGACTTAGATTTAAATATACATCTTTCACATCTACACAGACTATATAAAATTCATTCTTTGTTCATTCACATGCAGGTCAAACATGATAATCATTGTCTGATGTATCTTATGTTACATTTAAATTAGTTGCAATTTCCTCTATTAGCCTTTTACTTTATATTTCCAACAGAACACAACTATTAATAGCAACTAATAAAGAGCATCTGAAGTCAAATGAAGTTCAAAATAAGATTTAAAAGGCCAATGACTAAATTGATAGATATACTTACAGTGGCTTTGAGGCCATTTAAAATTTTAAAACATTTCATATCAACTAGTTTTAAATGAATGCACAGTGTATCTTCCCTAACGTTAGACCTGAACCTAAATACTTTCTTTCATTTTAATTTAAGTGGTTGGTAATTGAGATGTCTTCTTTGAGAGTCTCAGGGAACTCTTAAGAATGACACAATCTTGCTCTTACTACACAAGTGAGATATAATTTTATTACAGGTTAAATACCTCGACATTATTTCAAAGGGAGGTTTCATTTAATTTCCATTGCATTATATTCAGATGCATATATATACGCAGGGTACTAGATTGCTTGAGAATACAGAGATGATATATCTGATTTGGGTTTTCAATAATATACATGTATTGAACCAGGCTACTCTAAAAATAAAGTGAGCCCAATTTCTAATTCAGGGGCTATTATTTACTTTGGTCCATTGTGTGTGTGTGTGTGGGGGGGGGCATAAATCATTATCAATCTAAATCACAGTACTTTACTATTCCCAATGGGAGAAAATACCTGGTTGACGTGGTCCAGTTTGGGGCAAGGCCTTCCTCCATTATACGGCTTTTCACGCAGCCATTTAGACCGAACCTTCACGCCGCTCCCACAGGACTTACTGCAGCGGGACCAGTTGGACCACTCGCTGAGCTTGCAGTCAGAGGGGCAGGGGATGATGCAGGCCTCTTCGATGTACCCTGAGTGCAGGAAAACGAGAGGAGGGCCATCTCCCTCGTGTCACTCGCCCGCCACCACCCAGACGCTCATTTGGAAGATCCAAGTTTGACTTGACAGCAACATGCTAATATGCAGAGTCTCCGTCGTTAAGGATTCAAATTAAACGTTGCAGGAAAATGACACATACACACAGCGACTCTGTTCCAATAACAGCTGAGCAGCTGCCATATGATCTGCTCAGGATTCACGCTCACCACATTTCAGCATTCCTGACTCCCTGACAGCTCCTGTGTAATTGACAATAACCTGCCTGCTGCCATGTCATCCGCATTCTGCCAGAATGATTCATTAAAAAAATTATAACCGTTTCCCACAGAATCCTGTCCGTTAATGTCACCCAAGGTCAAGTTTCTGAGTCTGAGCAATGTTCTTGCTTAAGAAGAAAGCCAGGCCCTTTCAATCACTATCCAAAGGGAACCATTTAACTTAGCACCTTATGTTTCCCCTTCTTTGAAAATGAGGCCAGAAAAAGAAAAATGAAGACTGTTAAATAAATAAAGTCTCCTAGTTTTATAGTGCTGCCAATTTCAAAGCACCTTCACACCTTGTGTTCATTTAATTCGCTTGAAAATTTTAGAAACGCATTGGGCAGGTATGGATGGTCTACTGGGCAGATAAGAAAACAAATGCAGAGAGATAATTGACAAATGCAAGGTTATATAGTGAGGTGTGAGGAAAAGTTTTCTAAGGTCTAGTCGAGTATTCATTTCGTCAAATCACACATCCAATTAACTCAATAGTCTACCGATTAGTTTTGAGAAATGGGAGCATTTTCCTTGAACAATCGCTTACCACCAACTTGGCATTTCACTAGATCAATTTATCACTATTGTTCCCAAGGAAAATGTATAAGAAAAGCAAAATTCCTCTGGTCAAGAGTCATATACTGTGTGCAGAGTAGTTGTTCTTGATTCAAGAATACACTCTGGCATACCATTTTACATCAACATGAAGGATTCGATTTAGAAATGATTATCACATAAACAGTTTGTACTAGGATCTCTAAGTAGATATTTTTAAAATATCTTTTTATTACTTTTTAGAGCAAGAGGAAGGGAAAGGGAGAGATAGAAACATCGATTAGAGAGAAACGTCGACTGGCTGCCTCCTGCATGCTCCCTACTAGAGAGAGGGCCCACAACCTGGGCATGTGCCCTGACCAAGAATTGGAATCAGTGACCTCTGGTTTTATAGGTCAGCGCTCAACCACTGAGCCACACCAGCTGGACTGTGACAGAATTTCTTAAGGTGCTTAGGCAATAATTTGATTTCAAAATCAGTCTAGTTATCCTAGAATAATAAAGGAACTATCAGTCATAATATTAAGTCTTGATTTTTAAAAATAAATATAGTTACTTCCAATGTTCATTGTTTTATCAATTCTTTTTTGAAAAGCATAATAATCTTCAAATAGGTGGAGTGATCTACTTAAATCTTCTACTTTGACTTTAAATATGGCTTGAGTTGAGGAAACAAAAGCTCCGCTTACTTTTTTGAGTTGAAATACATTTTAAACTCCATTATCTTTTTCATACAGCACAGCCAGTAAATAAATTTATCTAAAACAGCATGAGATGCTTAGATATGTAATTCCTGATAGGGCCAATAATAATTTTTTAATATATTAGTTTTTTATTGCATAGTAATAGTTTAAGAAATAAAATAAAAATGTAAAAATGTCTAATTTCCAAGTGAATGCCATTCGGTCATCAAACTAATTAATGTTTATGCAAGTCCAATAATTTTTTAAAATCCCAATTATTTCCAGATATTATCAATAGCTTTGGCAAAAGGACACTAGTATTTCAAAGGTAACGTTATTGAAATATTTCTAGAAGGATTGCATTTTCCACCTTGTTAAATTTCAAAATGACTGTAAAAGTAAACCTCTAACCTTTTGTTATTTAGTAACTGTGGTGGAAAACAGAAACACATAATCTTTAATGTCACTGCTTCATAGAGTAACAGATAAATGGAAATTCTTTCCTTCCATTGTCAGTTGAAGTATTATGGCATTAGTGAGATTTAACATGGATGACCTCAGACTGATTCACATTTATTATCAAGTAGTAACACTTAACACTTAGCATATTCCAGATACAACTCTCAAATAAAACTCAAGGTATTAAATTGTTAAAAGATACATGTAGACCCTGAGATAAAACTGCAGCAGAATATAATGCTTAACATGTCATTTTTTATTTTCCGATGTGTAACAACTTTCAATAATTGCCTGTCATGTTTATCTAGCACAATTAAAGTCCTTAATGCTAGTAGTGAATTGCTAGATAATCATGGGGGATTGAAAGACAGAACATTTGATGTGTTTTAAGGCTAAATAAATGCCTGGCATCTTGTAGCAATTTATGGCTTCTGAGGAATACTGGAATAAAATAAATGACTTCACAATTAGGGTGTTAAAACTTTTAGCAGTTCAACACCGAATTTGGCACGAGGAAAAATCAAACTCCTGACTTCTGATCATATATATATTTTTTGTATCCTATGACTGTTCTTTCAGGTTGAAATGGATGCAAAACACTAGCAGCCTTAAAGTGGCAACCAGAGGACATACTGCCTTTTAGATATATCTTATCACCTCATTCATTTGAACTGTGAATTGCAGATAAAGTAGCTGTCAACAACCTTCACAACTATTAACGCTGTGCTGTTGGAAGGTACACTGTTAATAGAGTAAAATTATCATTTTGAAAACACATGAAAAAATATCGGTTGGTTCTGATTTACAGCTGTGTGAATAAGCAACACTGGCACTGTATGCGAAACATCTGGATTAATCTCCAAAGTGACCTCAAAAAAATCTCTCCTGCTTAAATGTGTATTATATACATATGATTGCAACAGGAATGAGAGCATTTATCTATAAATTTATCTATTGTTGTCTGTGTGGGTTTAAAAATATTTTTAAAATATCCCCAAATGAACATGATATTCTTTTGTGATTATATATTAAAAGCTGATAACTAGATAACCCAGGGAAACCAAACAACTATGTGTATAACCAAACTCTTATAATTGAATGTTCTACTCATTCAATTGGAATCAACACTGGGCAATTAAAATTTTCATAGAGAACTGTTCAGATAAATGGATATTACTACAGTATAATGCTATTTTAATTTTATTTATGTTTATTTGTTTAATATACATATGAAGGCATATCGCTCCATTCTGCTAAGTACTTAAAGATTCAGGAAATTTCAACATCAGTGTTAAAGGCTGTGGGGTTTTGTTGATATTGTTATTCCAATCCTGGAAGCTTATCCAATGATAAGGCACATTCAGATTCATAGATACATCTCTGTATAAGTTCATCATCAAGGCCATTTCTTATAGCAAACTCTAAAGCTTTCTGTTGCACAATAAAGAATTAGGTTGATCTTTGACCTTGATTACTGGGAAATAGCCTCCACGCCCTGAACTTGAGTGGTAAGAGTATCATTGCTATTCATGGAGGGCCCCTTGCACTACACATGAGTTTATGCTAAAAAGATGTTGACAGGAGGGAGACAGGTTGAATTCAAAGACAAAGCAGGTGTTTAGAGTGTTGGGGCTTTAAGCAGCATGATACCTGACCAACCTCTGGGGCGGGAAGATTGAGTTCAACCAACCATGTGGTCAATGATTCAATCAATCATGCCTACGTGACGAAACCTCAATAACAATGACACCAAAGCTCAGGTCACTTTTCTGGTTGATTATAAACATTGATGGGCAGGGACGGTGATGCCTCCTGGTGCCATGGAAAAGAACATGGAAGCCTTGTTTGGGGGACCTTCCCAGACCTTGCCTTTGTGTCTTATTTTGGCTGGTTATGACTGTGATCTTTTGCTATAATAAAACTGTAAATGTAAGTGTGGTTCTTTCCCGAGTTCTCTGAGTCATTCCAGTAAACTAATGGACCTGATGGGGTGGTGAGAACCCCCCAGATCTGTGGCTTTTCAGTAGTAAAGTTAATCTGTGAATCCCCAAAGTTGTAGCTGATGTGTGAAGTGAGAACAGTCAAGTAGAGACATGAGCCCCTACCCTGTGATGTGCGGCCTAGCTCTAAGTAGGAAGTACTGGAATTGCATTCAACTTTCTCCTTCAAGCATCATCACAATGGTCATGTAGTGGACATATACTTTATTTTAAAAGGACATAAATCCATCATTTCTGTAAGGACTGTACCTATGGTTTACTTATTCAGCCAAAATAAAGACCCGGGGAAAGCATTAAGGCATTTTCTGACTTTCTCCCCAAATTTAACATTTAAAATTCTAACCAATACTATATTAAACATCAGAGATAAGTTCTACAAAACTCACTTTTGGGGATAGGATTTTGTAAGCAATATAAATGTATTTTATTGAGTGTTCAGATTGTGAAGATGAAGTAATGGAAAATAAATAAACTTTGAAACTAATTAGAGTGATTTATTTTTAACTTCATCTAATATTAACAAAGCTCTGTTCTTTCAAATCAGTGAAAATCCTTTATTGCCATGGAAGCATTTCCAAAGGATGATCTTTAAACAGTTTTGGTGGATTGTAATAAGTATTAAACATACATTTTACAAAAAAAGCATTCTGTGGTCAAGGGAGTTAGAAAATTATTGCATTAAACTGGTTAAACAAGGCTCTTCTCCCTGGGCTTCCCTTTTTTGCTAATGTGAATCGTGAATCTCTAAGAAGTTAACTCAGGCACTGCATTCCTGTGATTAATGACTTTTTCCTCTAGCATCTCACTGAACAAGTGAGAAATAGATTGCTCATAGTTTGTAATTATAATGCATTAAAATTGGATTCATGTTTTGAGCTGGACAGAGTTTTAATATTTTTCAAGTGGTCCTTCTTATGTCCATTTCCAAATATGAAAAAAAGTAAAAGCAAACAAACAAATAAATAACAAAATCCCCCATACTTAGAAGAGTTTCTTCTTCTTAAATTATCTTATGCTT